GCTTTCCCTTGAACTACTGATGTCTGCATCATCAATACAAACTTAGTTGTTGAAGGAGAGTAAACAAATAGAATTGAAATGATCTTAATTACTTGAATTTCTTTCAATTTTGAATCTCGATTGCTTTTGAATTCTTTCATTTCGTTTTCAAGCTTTTGACACGTTATCTGACACGCTTTATATCTTTCTTGAGATGTCACAATTATATTCTCCTGTTCAGCAATTTGGGACATAATATTCTCAACAACATGAATAATCTATAATAATATAACATAATGTTAGTTTTTGTGATCGTGTTTAAAGGCATGTTATTGATATTTACCTGCGAACTACTGCTCTTATTAACTTGTTCTTCCAACAATGCGATCTCATGCGTTTTTAAATCTAGTTGTTGTCTTACTTGGTTGTATTTGTGAATAACCTTTTGTGCGTCCTTAATCTCTAAGTTTATTTTATCGAGTGCTTGTTGATGAAATCTTAACTTATCCTTGAGCTCCTTTGAAGCCTGCATCTTGTTGAGGATTCCTTCTGAAGAAGGTTTAGATCCACCTTGAAGAGTGCCACTGGGATCATAAACATCACCTTCCAATGTAACAGATTTAGCATGAACGCTCTTGTGAAAAGTAACTAATTTAGCTGAGTCTGCATCAGCACAGATTAAAGTACTGCCAAATACATATTCCATTGCTGGTTTAACTTCTCTTTCATATCCAATTAATGTTAATGCTAAATTTACTTTTCCTGGACTAAGTCTTTGCGCAGCAGCGATCCTCTAAATTCATGGTTTAATATTAATTAATAAACTATATATATTAAATTCTGAAAATCAAATTATATCTCAGATATTTTGCTTCTAACCTCAGCGGATAACTTAAATACTTGAATCTTATTCAACGGAATGATTGTTACTTTTTTTCGTAGTTTTCCTTTTTCAAGGAGTAATGATCCAGTTTTTTCGTTATTTACCACGACCTAACAATAAAATTTGTAAGTATTTATTCTACTTGAACAAATGCTTTATTACAAAAATTAGATTTACATTGTATAATCTTCCTCCTGCACAAATTTCCAAAGCGGTAGAACAATTAGCATATTTAGGGTCAACACTAATCAACTCCGCGACTAGACCTTTAACTGTACTTCGATCGAAATCTGGTGTCGGTTTAGAATAAATGAATTCTAAATTCGACAATTGTGAAGACAGAGATTCACATTTCTAATATACAATATATATCAAAGTTTTTTTAATAAAAATACAACTACAAATTTTATGCACAAATTATTCGGTTATGTAATACTTCTGTAATGTCTTGAATGGTTTTCTCTTCGATTAGCTTCCTTTTTAACAGATCCTCCATCCTACTTTGGTCCCAATCGATCTTCGACAAATTGGCCTGAAAAGAAAAATTATTAGAATTATTTGAATTTATAAAGCAAATAACAAATTTTCCAATATTTTCATACATTCAAGTCTTGTGCTGTTTTTTTGGCCGACTCTAAGGAACTAAGTAGTTCTCTGCCATCTTTTTGTGCCTTTTGAGCCTGTGGCTCCTTTTCTTTTAACTCTTTTTCGAGATGAGATATTTTTAATTTTGCTTGCTCTAATTCAGTCTTCGCTTGAGTTGCATTATTTTTCGCCTCTATAATCACAGATGATTCACGCTTATGGTAAATATTCTCGTCTATATAAGGCATATATATCTTATGTGGTTTACCTTGAAGTTGTTCCATATATCCATTCTCATGTCCCTCTTGTGCTGAAACCCCTGTAGACAATGTTTGTAAGAGTTCTTCTGCTTTTCGAACTTTTTCACTTTTCTCATCGTGAGTTTTTTTTATTTGATCAAATTGTACTTGTAATTTTTCATAATTCCTCCTTTTCTGCGATAAATTTTGCACTATCTACAAATAATAACATTAACATTAAGTCCATTTCTTAATGTTATATTAATCTTTTACTTATTAAATTATTACCTCAGCTTTTACAGACAACAGTGTGTCCTTGTTTTTTCTTTCTTCTGTAATAGACGCTTTATTAAGTTCGCATTTTGTATTAATTCGAACTATTTGATTGGAATATTCTGTTATGTTATTTTCTAGCATTTGAATTTTGTCACCAGTTCCAATCTCCTGTAATATTTTCGATGTTATATTTATAAGTTATGCAAAATGAATTATGGGAAATTAAATTAATTACTTGCCTTTTCTTTATTTAAGGTCGTTTGCCTAATATCTTCTTCTAGATATGCGATTTCGTCTTTTAATTTTTCATTAAATTCCAGTAATTCTTGAACTTTAACTTTTTTTGCTTCGAAATCGGCGCCTGATCTATCGAGTTTTTCCTATGCAATGATTAGAGAATTAGCAAATATAAAATTAACATACTTACGAAGTGTCCTCAATGAAATAACTATTAATTAAGCTAACCTGATGTTTTGTATATTCGTATGCAACAACCAATCGCGTCAGTCGTTCAATATCAGATTCTGTTTTCTGAAATTCTAAATATGATCTTTTCTCTGTTCTTAATTTATCTAACTTTGGCCCAATTTCTTCTTTGAGCAACTATAGGATTAATTAAATATCCGCAATTAATTTGGTACATAATAATACTATGAAACTTATATGTTACAAATACTCGCCTCTGTAATTTCTTCGAGTTTTTTTTCTTTCTTTGCAATTGTCTTCAGCGCTTTTTCTTTTCTCTCTTCAAACATACGCGTCCCTGCAGCTTCTTCGATCATTGCTAAAATTTCTGGAGGCTTCATATTAAGAACTTTGGTTATTTTCCCTTGCATGATCAAAAAATGAGGATTATTAATATTGAGTTGAACTGATTGGAATAAGTTTTGAACCACATTTTGTTGGGCTCGATGGCCGTTGACGATGTATTTGCTTTGGCCGCCCAAAATGATCTATAAAAAGATTTAGAAAAATTAGTATTTTATTAAACCTCCCCATACTTATTAATTATCAAGAATTCACCTGTCTTGTTATACTGATACGCGTATATTGTTCGAAACCCACAGGACTATTTTCTCTATCTTCATTATTAAAAACGATAGTAACTGAAGCCTTATTAACCCCGGTTTGACCACGTTTATAGATCAAATC